TAAAAATAATAAATATCTTTGTTTTTGAGCTCATATGTCTTTTTATTCAATAATGTAACAGGAACAGGATTTTTGAATTGAAAATGTCGCTTATTTTGCCAATAAATGGTTTTTGATTCATTGCAATTATTTAATTATAGGCCCTCCAATTAACTCGATTAAAAATTTTAATAAAATCTCATCATTAATATAAACAAAAACATCAGCTTTTATATTGTTTTTGATTTCAATGTTGAATGTACAACAAGCTGTCACTGGAAGTTCCAAATGTCAACTTCTACTCCATGATGAAATTTAATCTGTGGTAATCACATAAGAGGCAAATCGCTGAACCAACGACGATCAGACCGAGTGTTGTAATGCACTCACCTCTATTGATAAAGCAGCATTCTAACATCCACTTTCATCAGAAACCATCAGAAAATACTTCTGTCTGGGAGTTTCAGTGTCAGTCAGGACTGACCGTTGACAATTGGACCAGGATGTTTCCTATTTATAAGTCCTTCTTTAACAGCCAGAATCTAAAAATAAATAGCAAACACTAGTCATGGGTTATGACGGTGTATTTGTCTGTGAGCAAAATGTCTCATAAGAGAACGAGAACGGTTTTCCAACTATTTCTGTTTCCAGTCCAGACTAGAAAATGAGCAGTATTTGACTCTTTGATGCATTTAAAGAATTTTAAGGGAGTTTAAATGAAGCATCTTTGTTGCTAACATTTGAACCAAAACAATCTGGGAATGAGAACAGGAAGAGAATCTGACAGGATCCACTTCCCTGTGCAAACTCAGTAAGTGTTTGCATACCATAGATTTGATGGTATTTTCACAATATACTCATTTTAAATCATATTTCTGCTGATATTTGGCATCTTTATTGTTCCTTATTTTAAATAGTCTGTTAATACTATGGGTTTAAATTACCTCTGCATTTCTTTACTTTTGAACAGGACTGCACTATTTTTAATAACAGCACAGCATTTATGCTAAAATGACTGAATGGACTATAACACCTTTCTTCAGAAGACATGTAGCTCAGCCACATGCTAATTCCTATCGACGTACTTCATTTTGACCAGGTGCCAGTTTCTTGGTCAGCACCCAGACAATGATGTTTGACTCACAGTGTTGACAATCACACTGGTGTACAATCATCCTGTGTATGATAGGCATGAACCTTGGTCTAAACTAACTGTTTTTAATCAAAGTGTGGCTATTTGGGTGAGATGGTTAAAACGTAGACAGTGGGTTGCTCCACCAGGACAGGGAGCCCAAACACTCATAAAAACAGGTTTTAGAATTTGGGGTGTCCTGATCCGATATTTATATCAAAAGTTGGTTTGATATCAGGCAAAAAATTTGCATTAGATTTTATCAGCTTACATCTAAAATCACAAATATAAACACTCTGACAGCATTTAGTTTGCCCCAGAATTTCTCTCTCTCTCTTGTTCTGACACTTATTGTTGTTGACTATTGTTCTCTGCTTGAGTAAAACCCATTGGTCAAGCCTTTTCTAACATTCCACATTGCAGTGCAAGTTATGAAAATATGGATGATTTGTGCTATCATATTGGATCAATATTGATATTGGCCGATACTCATAGCTGCAATATCGGTATTGTAACGGAAGTGAAAAAGTTAGAATGGATAAGCAGGCTGACATTAAAATTCTGAAATGGCCTTGACCATTGTAAAAATGTGTGATTAAAAAAAAAATATATATATATATATATAGCACAGCATGTCAGCCTGAACCATCCCTGCAGAGAAGCATGGATGGGGTGGTATTACTCTGTGGGAGACAGGCTGAATAGAACTTTAGGCTCTTTGAACTTTGGTCCCTGCGCTCATGCTGATCCTAAACTTGCTTCACTGTGAATAGAGATACTGGTATTTGTTTGACCTTTGAATGTTCCTCAGTTCTCAAACTCCTAAACCAATGTAATTTCATGGTGACAATTTTGATCAGGATGCAGTAAATTGGACATAATGTAAAGTTCCAAAACACAAACACATCCAATCTGGTTTTGGAAGCAGGTTTATAATAAGTTAATGGAATTGGCCCAAAATCAAACCTTGTGAGATGTTATGGATGGTGCTTGAAAGCTGGATGAGAGACAAGAAACCAAACAGTTTGAACAAGTTCTATCATTTCTGATAAGAAGACTGTTCTTATATGCAGTTAGAATTGTGCAATTATCTATCTATCTATCTATCTATCTATCTATCTATCTATCTATCTATCTATCTATCTATCTATCTATCTATCTATCTATCTATCTATCTATCTATCTATCTATCTATCTATCTATCTATCTATCTATCTATCTATCTTCTATCTATCTATCTATCTATCTATCTATCTATCTATCTATCTATCTATCTATCTATCTATCTATCTATCTATCTATCTATCTATCTATCTATCTATCTATCTATCTATCTATCTATCTATCTATCTAAACACAGCAGCTGCGCTGAAATGTAAATCAGAGATTCTCCTACTGACCTACTCATCGATAACCAGACCCAGATCTGCATGTGTCTGCAGTTTTTAACGGTCCTCTGAACAGTGCAGGCTGCCCCTCGAACCTTGCCGCCATTATCGCAACACTTACACACATTTGGTGCATTGTGCGCGTTCAGCCATCGCTGCGGCTGTGCGTGGGCTGAGAGCTGCACGTGCATGGCCTATTTTGCAAGAGGAGACCATTTTAACCTACTTTCTGTTTACTAAGCGATCCGAAGTGGCGCAGCAGAATCACAATGAATTCAAAACATTGAGTCATACCACAGCATCACAGGCTGTTCTGCAGGAAAACAATGTGGCTAGACATACATGAAAGAACAGCGAGACCAATGTAATAATAGCAACAATAATAATAATAATAATAATAATAATAATAATAATAATAATAATAATAATAATAATAATAATAATAATTTTTCTAAACATTTTTATTATTTATCTTTTTTCTTTTTTTTTTTTTTTGCGCATCAACAATATGTGGCAGTCCTGTGCGGAATGTGCCTTTATATGATTGAGATGTGCGTAATTTTGCGCATCCATATCGACAGGTGCAGTCAGTCGACCAAAGATGAAAAGATGTAGATGCAAAGTGAAAGCCTGCCTTGCAAAAAAAAATAATAAAATAAAATAAAAAGTTAACAAAAGAAACTGATTTCTTACCTGCAGGATTCCCGACGATCTGGTGCGCAACCGGCTCTGAAGGGCCGTCTACACAGAAGATGCTGCAGGACTGTGGGCGCTTTTCAGCCTCATCAGGCGGCCGTCACTCCACACAAATGGGCTCGAAGTGGAAGTTAAGCATGCCTCCATCAAATTGTGCCAGTTGCATTCAAATAAGATACCCATAGCGAGAAGGAACGCCAGTGTTTTTCGGCACCTCCTCCCCTCAGCATCCACTGCGTTATGAGGGCCAAACCCTACCCAGCCCTGCTGCCCTTGGATCCGCAGCACCACCCGCAATCTTCGCGCATTTTCGTTGCTGAGTGGCAGGGGGGAGGACTAATAGAGGACAGCTGAACGCTGGGAAGAAGCCAATAGGAGAAGGCTGCTTTCCTTGTTGCTAAGGCTGGTTTAATGATATCAGAGTGCTTGGAGTCAGAGACAGAACCTGCTGAGATGGTTCCATTTTATCATCTGAGCAGTGGGATGCATGATCATACGAGCATGATATGCGTGAGTCTCTGCAGAGAAGAGACTACAGCTGCTATCAAACCCCCATAAACATGTCCTTATGTTGTACATGAAATAGTCTCTGCAGCTGCTGCATCACAGAGGTGTGATGTATATTAGCCTGCAGCCTCCTTTATTCTGACACCATGAAATAAAATCCAGTACAACCAATTGCCTCCAGGATTGAGTTTGTAAATAGAAATGGATGCATGTGTGCATCCATTTCACACAGCTTTTCTGTGAGGCTCCGAGGGGTTTATTAGAGAATGAGCACCAGGAAGCAGGTCAGGGAGAAAGCTGCAGAGAAGTTCAAAGCAGAGTTAGGTTACAAAACAATGCATCCAGTTTTTAAGATCTGAAAGATTTGTGGGAATATGGCACACCTGCATTTCTACCAATTTTATGGATGTCCACCTAAAATGGCAAGTTGGGATAGAGCATTATTAAGAGAGGCAGTGAACAGGCTTTCTCAAGAGCTCACATGATGGGACAATATTAGTTGTAAACTTCCTTGGTCTGTGACCGAAGCCATTGAGGCGAGCAGCAATCATTCAAGAACGTGCTCTGGTCAGATAAGACCAAAGCTGAACACCATGGCTGAGAGATAAAATGCGACTGTATGCAAGAAGAAAACTGACACCGAACACCATCCTGCACACAGAGCCAGTCTGGTCATTGCCTTCCTGCACAATTCTGCTCAATTATTATCTCGCCTCACAGACATTTCAGGCTTTCTCCCATTTATTTGAGTTAGAATTTCTACTGGGTCAAACAGCAAACAAAATGAGAAGTTATTAACTATACCCTTGATGTTCTGTGCTATTTTAGAATCATTTTAGACCCTCTGCATGAAGCACATAACATAGAAGAAGGGGCTGTTTTTACCAGGCCATTTTGCCCCTTCAGATTGTGTCCCATATTTTTGTAATTTTGCCTTACAAGACACAGTTAGGAGAAAGTGAAAGTTGTAACATGAAAAATGTGAAAAAGGTTAAGTGATCTTGAACTTTAGTTGCTGCTGCCATCTATCTAATTTATGGCAGAATGTGTCCAAAAACAGACAGACTATTCTTTCACACTGGCACCAAACCTAAAACCAGTTTGATTTACCTGGTGACTTAAACCTGAAGGTTCTGTAGTTATGTACGTGTCAAATACTTTGCCTGAGTATAATTGTAGTGAGAGGAATTGATCTGCACCATGAACGAATAGTAACTGCAAGCTGGACAGACAGAAAGACAAATGCTGCGCATGCGTACGTCCGTCCCCGTCTCTCTGCTGCAGCGCGGTGATTCTCTCTGCCTCGCGCAGCAAGAAGCTTTTCCTTTGGTCAAAGTCTGAGCCAATCAGCTTGCTTCTTCTTACTAGGCACCATTCTATCGATGACTTTCAGCGTTCACATGTAGTAACCCTGTTTGTTGGAAAAGAACCTCAGAATGAACACTGTTTTGTCGTCTATTTCCCGACTGCGCGGATTAACACACCTGCGTGGGTAAGTCTGTTCGCCGTGACAGAGAGAGGAGGAAGGCCGTGGTGTTTGTACGCCATGCTAAGCGCGTATGCTAACGGCGAGAGGGTCCTGTTGGCTAATATCCATGTTTATGCTAACATGGAGTGAGAAGCTGCTTCTGCGAGCTTCACACTGACTCATGGTCACAGACTATGGAGTCATTGTTACTACTAGCTGGCAGGAACCTGTCAACTTTCAGTGCCTCCTTTTGGTTTTGTAGTTTCCTTTCCCTGCTCCATCTTTGCTAATGTGGCTTTATTTAATGATTCAGTTCAGTTTATTTCTACATGTGGAGCATGCTTCATCTTATGCACGATGAAGCTTCACTATCAAAGGATTTAGATGTGAGAGGGACAATATCTAATTTTATTCTGGATTTAGCAGGGAGCCAGTGAAGGGGGGCTAAAACAGAAAAATTTGATTTCTGATTTTCATTTTCAACAAAATTCTTTCTTCTGCGCTTTGGATAAACCGAAGGAAGACATTGACAGGGAATTCAACATATTAGTTGTCTCAAAGTGACAATATTATCGTTGCAATAATTTTTGGTTTAGAGCTAAATTTGTTATAGTGACAGGCCTCAGCCTACCTATGAGATGTGACAAATTCATTCCATTGAATTGTGTTTTCATATTCAGGCTCATTAAACTTTAATTTGTGCTTTTTCTGCAGCAGCATCCCTACGTCGGATCTCTCAGCCAATGGCACGTCTCGCCTCAGGCTCTTCAGCGGCTGGTTTGCGTCTGGTGCAGCTGCCAGGCCTCGGGTTTTCCGACTTCTGGGGCCTCTTCCTACGCAAGTGGAGAGCGGCGACGCGGTCCAGCAGCTACCCTGGCGGCACCAGCAGGTGCGAACCCGCAAAAGAGGCACAGAGTATCAACCGAACAACATAAAACGAATAAATACACACGGTTGGAACAAGAGGATGAGCTCGCGGGGCGGCATAGAGGTGATCCTGCGGCGTATGTTGAAGAGACGGAAATCCCTCTCTCACTGAAGGTCTTGATGGAGGATCTGAAGGACTTGGACTCTTGATGTGCTCAGGATGATACTGAAAAAGTCTGCAGTTGGATAAAATGTGTTCTTGGGGTCATACTTTCAAAATGACTGTTCTGACCTCTGGTCAGAACCAAGAACTGCTATTTGATAGTTTTACCAACTATCAGCATCGGTCAAAACGTCCTGTTCTAAATCACAACATGTAAAATGTGTTTCAATGATGAAATGTATCAATAAAATGATTTTGCAAAATAAGTTTTATTTTTATTTTTTTATTGTGAAACAAAGAAATGTTTGGAGTTAAGTGTAGCACCTTCTCAGTGCTCTGCCCTCCAGCTGTTAGAACACTGGTTTATTTGCCAGAAGATGCCAGGAGGAACACTTTGCTCTGTAAAGTTTTAGTTGAATTTGTTTGATGGCTGATAAACCGTTTTTCTGTAAAGGTAAGTTGTTTCTCTATCATTAGTACATTCACTTTTTTTCCCCCACAAAGTTGCATACTTCTGCTTGAAGGTCACAGTAAAAAAAAAAAAATCTGGGTTTTTAGAGTGTTTTATCCAATCATGGAAAGTTTACTGGAAGGAAGAACTGGTGTCAAAGCAACATGACTCAGCTTTTGCTCGAATAGCATTGATGCAGTAATATGTGCAAATGGAACCCCAGCTGGAGGAACATATGAAACATTGGATACATGATTTTTCCCCCCATTAGCAAAGTGACATTTCTGTATTGGAAAAATAAAATCATCTTTCAATGATTTGATGTAATATTCAGAGACTTTTTATTGTTTTTCTCAGTTGTGAGTTATTAGAATCAAAATTAGCAGCAATAAACACTTAAAATATGGCATTCTACTTATTCTTCCTATTGTGACAATATTACATTATTATGGACTTAAGAATAAATGTCAAAAAATTATATGCATTTACAAAGAGGGTGTTTTAATAATTTAATAAACATAAATATACATAAAATTCATAAATCGACATTTTAATTTTTTTTACATTTCAATTATGGACTCTTGGTATTAATTGTAATATTTCAAGATAATTTGTTTTATCCGAATCGGAAAAAAATTAAATGGGAAAAATGCAGTATTTTCAGAGCAATAGTAACTTTTAGCTGTATACATTGTTGACAAAATAAAGAAATTTCAATAAAAGTAATGCATTCTTTATTATGTTTATGGTTTGTATTGCCATAATAACGTAGTGCTGGAAACTCCCACAGGCTCAAAGGCAAAAATACGTAATTGCCGTTTTGGCCAATCATCGTCTCGGGCGTCAGAGCTCGTTGACAGTAAAACCAATGAGATGACGTGGAGGTTTAGAGTCACCGCCCTCAAAATGGATAAACAACAAAGATGGAGTTGTGAACTGAGAGCTACGCAGACATCTCCAGTAAATGTTTGTGGTTTTTCTCTTATAGACTTTTAAGTGTCTAAATAATAAAGCTGACTTAGTGCAGTAATATTAGACGTAGTTTATGACCGTTAGTCATCCTGAGACGCTATCTAACAGGTAAACAAGTCGGTTTCTAGGAAACGACTCAACAACAAAGCTTTGTTGCTAGCTCGTCTTCACTCAGCGTGCTAAGCTAGTGGACACGCGAAGACAAACATGGAGAAGGTTTGTTGTACTGTTGATTTATGTCGGCGTTTAGATAAATGACAGAATAATAAATCCTTTGTTCTGTTGGGGCTCTGGCTTCTGGTCCATTAACAACAGTGTGAACTTGTGAAATAATTTATAGTTTGTACCACGAATCTCCGGAATTATTTGTACCACCTGGGAGTCACTGCTGATGCTTTATCTGTCCTGGACTTTTGACAGAGAAACTTCCTGAAGGGGCTGCCTGTCTACAACAAAAACAGTTTCACCAGGTTCCATGCAGACTCTGTATGTAAAGCATCAGTAAGTTCGCCATTCTCACCGTTTGGATAAGCAAATGGTCCTGTTTTGTCGACATGATTGCTGCTAATTTGCATCTTTGAAAGCACTTATCTCTCTTTTTTAAACTTGTTGTCAACCCTGTGCTTCAGAACCGTCGGCCGTCTGTGTATCTGCCTACAAAAGAATATCCATCAGATCAGAGTAAGTTCCAAGACTCATTCTAAACAGAACATCCTGTGTATCTTTTAATCTTTCCTGTTCTTGTCTGTGTTTTTTCACTCAGTCATTGTGACAGAGAAGACAAACATCCTGCTGCGGTACCTGCATCAGCAGTGGGATAAAAAGGTAAATGTTGGAACAGATCTGGAAACCTGCAAATCTCATTGTATGCAGCAAAAAAAGACCAACTGGTCAGATTTGAATAGACTCCAGAGTTTTTAAGCTAAAGAACGCTCCAGAACCTTCAACTTTGCAATCAAAGCAAAGTCATGATGTAATAATAATAAAAAAATGCTGGTTGATAAATTGTCCCAGTAACTATTACAATAAATAATAACATTTTTGTTTTGAGACAATTTTCAAAAAATATATTGATAATGGCATAATAATTAAATTTTGCCCTTTCAAAAACCAGCAACTTTTAATTTTAATGCTGGAACAGGAAGATATTTTAAATATCCAAAATAAAACATTTCAAACAAAAACAATTCAATTAAACAAAAATAAAAACCACACACACTCACATAAAATGAATTATACTTCAAAAAGTATAGTTCATACTTTGTTTCCTGTTGATGATTTGATGATGGAATATTTCCATTCCAATAGTGAGAATGGAAATATATCATGGGATTAATTGATTATTGCAACAAGCTCATGAATACATGTATACATTTGAAAGATCTGACCTTGTCTGGGTAAAAGAAAACCACAATAAATGCCAACCTGACCTATTCATATTTCAAACTCTTTTGCTGTACATTATATTAATTTTCCATTCAGGGAAAGCGATTATGTGAAGCACTACATTCAAATTTGCATGTAAACGTCTGAGCCATCGTTGTTTCATGTTCTGACTGTCGTGAGCCAACGATTCAGATTTTCTTCTTCTAAATTTGCCAGAATTCGGGGAAGAAGCGAGACCAGGAGTCGACGGAAGAGGACAGCTCGGCGCCTCCGCGAAAGATGGCGCGAACAGACAGCGAGGAGCCCAGCGAGGACTCGTAGTGAGCCGCGCCGCTTCCTCCTTTCTCCCAGAGACTCGACTGCTTCAACAGAATCCATGCAGACATGCGGCGCGTTAGCAGACGTGGCGGTGTGGTAAACAGTGCTGATGGTTTCGAACCGCAGCTGTCCCGGCGGCCCCCCGCAGTGTGACTCCAGGTTTACTCCAGCAGCTCCTTTACCTACCGGGTCTCCATGTCTCTGGAGCGCTCTGTGGCGTGTCTTCACAACCAATGGTGTAAATTTCTAACAAGATTAAAATAATACTTCAGTATGTTGTTAATACCAGTGACGTCAGTTAACGCATTACTTTTTCCAGTAACGAGTAATCTAATGCGTTGCTATTTCAAATCCAGTTGTCAGACTTTATCAAAATCACTTTGCGTTACTGTGCATCACTGTCTTCTTTTGTTATTTAATCGTATTCCCTCTACACGTCTTGTCGAGTGACCAACGTCTTTATGCGACAGTATAAGCGACAGAAATGCAAACAATGGAGGGAGATGCACATTATTTTGTTGGTAGAAAAACAGAATCTATTTTTGAATTTCTGTTGCCAAGTCTGATTATTATAAGCAGCTTTGGGCTTTTTTCTTTTTAAAGTCACTTGCAAAGTCGCGGGTTGCGCCTATTTGGGCTCATTTGGGCTTGAAAATAAGCAGAGACTCATAATAAACCCCAGAATTTGTCCGTCATTAAGGTAGTTTCAGTCAGACTCTCCCTGCCCATCATTTCCCGGTTGATCCGTCCCGCTGTGTCTTTGTTAATGTCAAATCTGAGAAACATCTGAGTTGTGGAGGGGCAAGAGGAGCTCTGTGCGCTGCACTCTGACAACAAACACAGGGCCGTAACACACAACCTGGAGGCTGGAGGGAGCGCTGGGGGCTTTAAAATCCTTCTTAAGAGTTTTTCAGACAACAGAAACACACAAAAACACTCACACATTATTCACATTTTTTTTTGTACTGTTGTAACCATTGAAAAATCTCCTCTTCAGTTCAACCTTATGAGTTGAGATACATTGTTGAGGTTACTGTCAGAAAATAACTTACAATTAAGTATTGGCAAAAATCAATGTCATTGTCACAGGTGGTGGAGCGTTGCTGTTAGCAGCTGCTGAAAGTAACTAAAAAAGTTACTTTTAATATAACTTACTGTAGCTTCTTCCCAAATCAAGTAGTCAGTAATTTGTTACTTTTTCAAGGAGTAATCACTAATCCGATTAGTTACTTTATCAAAGTAACGATGCCATCACTGGTTAATACCTACAGCTGTGTTTAAGTTAACTTGTATCCATACTAATAGTGAGGCGTCCTGTGAGTCCGTGCTATAAATGTGCCAGACACACTAAAGAAGAACCCAGAAAACCGGGCTGAGTTGGGCCGAGCAGGTACCGGTGGGAAAGAGTCTTCTTTAAAGAGTTCAATGTATCGAGAAGCAAGTTCAGACTGGAATGCTTACTTCCTGACAAGCATTTGGATATTTTCGATGTGCAAAAATAGTCATACTCCTTTACATTTAACACACTGTCACCACAAATCAAATTTTTTTATTGGGATTTTTGATTGAAAAGAAAAACATTATAGAGCACACAATGTGACATCTAAGGAAATAGACGAGTATTCTTGAAATAAATCTGAAAAGTGTGACGTGCATTTGTAATCGCAGCCTTCACTGTGATGATGGCAGAAATGTCTGTTAGCTTTGCCTGTGTTGTATAATAGTTCCAACTCAGTCACACTAGATGGCGAACAGATCTGTCAACATCAGTTTTCAAGTCTTACCATAAAGTCTAAACATCAAGGTCTGGACTTTGACTGGGCCATTTTAACACATGATTATGTTTTTATGATTCATTCCATGTTTCATGTTTTGGGGCCTCTGCAGTCTCAAGTCTTCTGCAGGTTTTTTTTTTTATTCTCATATATTTAGCTCCATTCTTTGTCCCTGTTCCCACAGCATGATGCACACACTACTGTGTTTCAGAGTGATGTGGATTCCTGTCAACAGAAATGCTTTGGTTCTCTTCAGAATCCCAATAAATTATGTTTGTCCTTTTAATGCAACAAATGGTTTTGTTTTGTATCTTGTTTCTTGAAGTAATATCTTTTTTGTTTAGTATATATGTTTTTGTTTGTTTATGCTGTTGCATTTAAAGGCTGATTTTTGTCACAATGTAAGACGAACATGTTCTGAACAGTAAAATGCATCTTTCTTTCAGAATTATTTGTGGTCTTTGTTTCTTTGTTGGCTGCTGCTCAGAGGTTTGAACTGAATGTTTAGCTGCTCAGACATGAGTACCAATTCTAACATTCAGCATATTTGACTTGGACAGTTCTTGTAGAACAGTTGCAGCTTTGGAATGTGTCTAAGTTTATTGCATATATGCACTGTCAGCGTTTTTATAAAGTTACATGGTGACACACAGCAACTGACAAAAACCAGAAAGCTTTGGAGAAACTTTCAAGGAAAAAAAACCCTTTCCATCTACTTACCTCTACTGTCATGACAGAAAGAAAGTACACCCTGTTTCTGCTCTTGGGTTTTATGTATCAGGGTACAATAAAAATATGTTCTTTTAAAAAAATCATTTCAATTTGAATTTCATTTGAATGTATAAAACGGTGTACCTTCATCCACACTCATTCAGCAGGCCTTGTAGTAAAACAATGTTGATGCACATTGCATTGTGCGTTATGTCTAACAGTTGTGTTTTTGTAATGCTGTGAAGGTGATTAATGTGAAGATAACTTCTAAATGTTTTCCATTCATGATTACAGTTGCACTTAAAAGTTTTATAGTTTTTGTCACTTGTTTCAAAAAGTGACTCATGTATAGATACATCACACACTGGCATTTTTCAATCCCCTATTTCTACTATTTTTGACGGTTATGTCCTAAAGATGATAAAAATCATCAGTTTAGTGTATTTTTAGTGTATATTTATAAGACACTAAAAATACAATATTAGAAAATCCGAACGATATTAAACACTGAAGACTTAGAGTTCACAGCTTAATCAGCTAATTGACTGAAAACACTTGTAGAGGTTTCCTGAGCCTCTCAGTCTGGGTCAGTAAGACACGACATTTTGACTGGAGCGTAAGACAGTGATGGACACTGTCCACTAGCAGGAGAGGCTGCAAGAGGTGATTGCTGAAGAAGCTGCGGCTGTATCTGGGGCATATTCACAGAACGTTGAATGAAAGCAAAATGCAAGTTAGAACAAAGTGAACCAGCAACATAAATGAAGCTTTGAGACGATTGTCAAGAAGAATCCATTCAAAAATGTGTGAATTTGACCTTTAACCCTGTGAAGTATATCTGGGCTGCTGTTAAGTGGAAGATGAGGGACTCCAGACCCAACGAAGCCGATGACCCAAAGGTCGCTGTCAAAGCTACCTGGGTCAAAGGCTGACCTCCTCCATGTCACGATGCATTCATGTAGTAATTCATGCAAATATTAAGGGAATTAAAATAAACAGTTTATTTTATTCAAGTCTTAATATTTCAAATTAAGACTTGAAATATCTCACTCTGTGTGTTTAACTTTTTAAAATGAATAAAAACAAATACTGAGCTGTCATGACTAGCAATTGCATGGCGGTGCTGATGTTGATAATAATCAGTTAATGAACACCAGGCTGCTACAATCCTTCTGAAGGTCCCAGGAAGGCACCACAGGTGCACTGAGTTTTTTCACCAGTGTTTCCATCATGGTTCACTTTTTGTTCAAAATAGTGTGTGAGATTGTATTGTGTCCTAATATATATTAAACCCAAGACCAAACAGGATGTACTCTCTTTTCATCCTCACTGTAAGTTTAAACAGTGATGGCTGAACCAATAGGTCAGAGCTCCTCCCACTGCCTGGAGGCATCAGAACCCAGCAGCAGCATGGTCTCTCTCATAAAGCAACACCAGCTCCTCCTATCCTGTTTCTCTCACATGGACATTGAACTGAGTGACATTTGTTTGCCTCATATAGTTACAGTCACTAAATTATGTAGTAAAATAAATTCATAGAAAATCAAAGTTTGGAAAAATAGATTTTTTTTCATGGTCACAGTGACTATATCTGACCTAGTGCAGAAGAATCCTAATGGCTTTGAACGTGCATCGCAACTAAAAATACAGTGAACATGTCACGCATGCACATGGAAACATGCACCCAGTACCACCACAAACTTTGAGCTGGAAGTTTAACCAACAAACTGTCTTTCTACTGTCTTGGTTCTGGACCCTTTTTGTTGCTGGTACTGTCTCAGATCAGGCTGCACTGTTACTGAACCCCCATAGAGTCAGTGACACTTACTGTACAGTTTATACATGGAAGTTAGGTAATTAAGTGTACATACAGACAGTGGCACGCTTTATGGAGTTGCATCAAGAGTGAAAGCTGAACACTTGCTGCATGTGGTCCTTGTGGTTTAACATTGGGGTGCATCAGTGCTTCTACATTTTGCATGATCATTTGTAAAAATTTGTTCCCTTCCTAAAACGACGTTGCTGTGGGTGATCTTTTATTAGGTCTTTGGGTTTTCTAAATCAGTTTGTAGTCTTGATTCTCCTCTATCTGACTCACTTGAGGGTAATTCCTCTGTGGTTGTGTTAGGTTGAGAGTTAGTAGCCTGGTTCAGCTGCTGTGTGCCATTAGCACACACCACAGTACCCTCTGATTTGCTGAAATTGAACAACTTCCCTGGACTAAATGTTCTGTTTGGGGATTGTGGTCTCTCCTGTCCACCAGGGGGAGCGGAAGACGTCACTGTTGAGCCTGATGTCCCTCCAGATGCCGCCGCTGGCTCTTTTTTCACTTCAGGTGACTTTAGGAATTTCAGAAATCCAGGCAGCTTTGCTTCGCCTCCCGTTGGGGACTGAGCCGGTGAACGGGATGTCCCAGAGGAGAACTTCCCTTGGAGAGGAATTATCTGTTTGAGCTTCATCACGTTATTATTCCCCAGCAAGGAGCTGGGCCTCTTGGGCTTGTCACCAGGCTTGCTGCCCTGTGATTTGTCATGGTGGTGCTGATGCTGCATGTCCGCCTTGTGGTAGTCGCTCTCATGACGAGCTTCTGCCTGCAGCTCGGCCTGACGGTGAAGCTCCTCCTCCTCCCGGCGGCGCCGGAGCTGCTGCTGGAAGTGCTGCTGTGCCTGCAGCTCATGTTTCTGAAAGAAGAAACATTTGTGTTGTAATACACTTCCTGCTTTTGGAGCGGTATTTCGACCACTTGACATTTACATATGCATTCAAACCGCACTGTAATTAACCTCAAACAAATCGTGACCTGGTTGGTAGGCAGGCCAGACTTCACTTTTTTGCTCAGCATCACAGTTTGACAAGTAAACACTTTTGTCCTTTGAAGTGTGACAAGTAAAAAAACAAAACTATCTGAAAAAGGAGCACCGCACAGAGAGTTGACTGACATCACACACTGCCACTATCCAAACACAGACTGGACCACAGAGCATTTTAGGCTGACACACAGCAAGAAACCAAGGGATGTGTACACACAGATATACAACAATGCAACACAAACTGGCCAATCAGCAGCCAACAGCAGGTCTGATGTTGACAGAAGGTCTTTCAAGCTATGACGTAGCGATATACCTTGAAAGCTTCCCTTCGTCGGTACTCTAGCTTGGCCATCTCGTCTGCTACCCAGCCAGGGATATCAGGGATGGCGACATGGATGACGTACTTTAGGAGGATTGCAAAGTGCTGAAAACCCACAAGACCACAAAGGGACAAACTCAACACAACACATCAGAGTACAAGACATTCATTTCCACATCCTGTGTTTTGATGGATGAATAAGTCTTACATACACCATAAACCGTACACTAGTCAGAATATCTTCAGGTTTAATGAGAGTATGCAGGAAATACCTCAAGCAAGACAATGGAGACGATGGTCATCTCAGGGCTCAACCAGGGGAACAGACGCTGAAGCTGGCCACACTGACCAATCAGGTAACAGTTAACTATAATGGCTATCAGTCCCATGGCCTCCATTGCAGTCTGTTGTTGAGAACAAGCAGACAAATTTACAGGCTGTTGAGGAGGGAGCCCGGAAGGCATTATTGACATTTCCAAGCTGGAAGCCACCAACCTGCCACTGTCCGATGTTGTCCACTCTCTGTCCGAACGGTCTCTGGAGGCCGGTGCACAGCTTCAGGGCATCACTTCGTATCTCAATGATGTTGTTGATAAGAGCACACATAGCTGCCAGGGGAAAGGCCGAGGAGAAGAGCACCACATAGCCAAACTGAATGAACATCTCCTGGTAGTCTTGAAGTGTTCCCTTTTCAAATCGAATGTCCCAGCACAAAAAGATTAGTCACATTTTTTTTATGTGTTAACATAACTGTGAGTAGACATAATTTTGGAGAAACATGTATCAGGAATGCTACCTCATATGTCTGCATGCAACTCTCTATCTCAGCCTGAGTCAATGCAGAGGTTTTGGGTTCCTCTGGTGGATCCATCCAAGATTTCTTGTCATCTTTCTGCTCGCCTACATTCCTTCTCTGGCAGATGGAGTCGGACTCTTTAGAAGAAGACACACTAATGTTCTCCTTGGTCTCCTGCTGAAGAAAAAAATGAAAAATGATACTTCTGTGCTAATAACGGAGACATATTTAATATATATTTATTCACACATTTCTTAAGGGTCCAGCATGCTTGAGCCAAAGTGCCGAAATTGATTCTCAGTGTTGCAGTCGTGTGAAGAAAATCACTTCATTTAGTTCTCAGCCTCATGTTGTCCACCCCTTCCGGTCACAACCCCCCCAGAGAACTTATGCACTCCGCTTCATGTAATCATGTAAGCCTATGAAGATTGGTCAGAATTTGTGGGTGTATTTGCCCCAAATATCCAACATCCAAAAGCAGTTTTTTCAGACAGCGGGTAGGATGGGTAGTTTGAGGAGCGGTTGACTAAGTCCATGAGGTAGTATGTTCAGTGGAACCAAAACAATGAACTTCTGCCTGGTTCTGGTCTGAGGCAGCGTGTAAAAATCCCACTCATACTTTCTGTTGTTTTTTTTTCAGTAACATGGAAAATAAAATGAGGTGTTGCAGCTCATCAATCATTATTTCATACTCCATTATTCCATCGAACTTGGAGTACAGTGGTTCCTCTCTGCCATGATTGCTGTGTTTACGACACTGTTGTAAACCACATACATGATGAAACAACAGTAGGAGGGGGTTCACAGGAGCTCAGATCAGTGTGTCTTGTGGACCTGGAAGGATGTTTGTGAAAGCAAACACCTTGGCTGGGCATTGTTGACTTTGGCCCAACAATGCTGGGCCGTTAAGATGTTGAGAAATCCTGACCAACAGACAGAAACAATGCTGACCACATTACCTGAGACAGTGATTCACAGTCACTGTCCTCATCACAACTGTCAAAAATGCTGGATGGATCCATCCCGTCTTCCACCAGCGTCGGACTGTCCTCCAGGAAACTGTCCTCCACAGCCTGGGTCTCCGTCTTGACATTCTTGTAGTCCACTTTCTCGGTGAAGCTGACTTTCCGATGCTTCATGATGCTGTCGTTCATGTCCCACTCTTCTTCTGAGAGCCTGAAGCCAGCTTTCAGATCTCCTCTTCTCCTCGTTTCCTGGATACAGTTCGCAGACTGACTGTTTGAGATTCCTCTGGGACTCAAGAAGGAGTAGGACATCATTGAGGCTTGTGCCTTCCCAAGAGCCAGGCGCCCATACTTGAGAATGATGACTTGTAGGAGCTCCCAAAAGACCTTCGGAGTGAAGACGCCGAGCTTGCTTTGCTCGTAGAGATATGGCTGAAGGACTTCTCTGATGTTTTGCAGGAATTGGCGGAAAATCAACAGAGTAGCAAGCATCTGAAAGGAAAACAGAGACTTTAGATACCACATATATTGTTTTATATGTGCATGTATATGTTCGTTATTATGGAGTATTGGAGAAGAGGTACGATTAAATACATTGTTACGTCTTCCTACACCTTCTCAGACATTAAATGAAAATTATGCTTTATATACTCATATATATATATATATATAAAGTGTAATAAAACATGTGATTCTATAGCAGCTATATAATATAAAACATAAAACATGTGATTCTATAGCAGCTATATATATATATATATATATAGCTGCTATAGAATCACATGTTTTATTACACTTGGTCAGAGGTAGGGTGCAGTTTACAAATTGAAAGTAAAAGATTCAAAATGTATATATATATATATATATATATATATATGAGTATATGGGTATGTATAAGTACACAAATACATACTAGTGATAATGTGGATGAACATAAACACATCATTATGAATGAAATGACATGATGGATGTGTCTGAAGTTTAAAGTGCTTTGAGTGGTATAAGTTCAGTCCATTTTACCATTTGTCTTTGTCCTGTTTATTTGCATGACTACCAACAGTCGAAACTTGAACTAGGCTTTTCTGTGTTTTTGTGTCGTGAGCTATCAGTGCAGCAATATCTGGATGTTGTGTGGTTATGCAGTCAGACACACAGGAAGTTCTGTGGTTTTCTTGAAACAGCTGCTATAGAATCACATGTTTTATTCTTACACTTGGTCAGAGGTAGGGTGCAGTTTACAAATTGAAAGTAAAAGATTCAAAATGTAGAGATGTCACAACCTGGTTTTACCATCAACTTCCTGTTTTTATTATATTTAGGGGAATGTTCATATCTGTCCACGTGTTTGTGTTCAGACATTTGAAAGACGCAATTATCCAAATGATGATTGTTCACTAAGCTCTAAAGCTACAAAGACTGTTGGCCAAAATAAGTTATTATTATTATTTAGATATACAGCCTGTAACAGATGAATCAGTCTTGGGGTGATGGTGGTTCTGAAGGTAAGAGTTTTGTTTTGTACTACCGATTTCAAATTAAAAATTTTCTGCAAACTTCTTACCTCCTTCAGTCGGTCCATGTCCTTGAGGTAGAATCCAATGTAGAAAAGACTGAGGTAAGAATTGATGAATTCAAACTGTGAAGAACAAGAAGACATAACAAGAAATAGAAAACCAAACTATCTTGAAAAACAAACCAGAAGATGAAGCAGGATAACTTACAAAAACCATCTTGATGATCAAGTTGTTCTCGTAGGCACTCTGAAGTCTGTAGTTCTCTGGAAGAACAAACAAACATGAAGCATTAGAGAGATTCTGTCTCCTACTTCTGTTTCTGCTGGAGAAATGGAGTGTCAGTCACCATCCTTTGCCTTTCTTATCAAAGAACTTGGCTATTATTCACACAAACAGATTTCTGTCATTTGCCAAAATGATTCCTACCCATGTCATTAAGCCAGTAGGCAATCTTCTTATACACCTCATCACATATAGTTACAGTGACGGCCAGAAGTATCTTAGGGATGAATCTTGTGATACCAGGCAGCTCCTGAATCTCCATCACCACTTCCTGCAGGAGGAATATTATTATGGAATCAGAACTAGTGACAGTCTCACGACTGTTATTTATTAGTCATCACATAAAAACTATGAAGGACCAAAACTGACATAATTAAAAAATAAAAAACAGAAAGCAATAGATTTTGTTGCATGCATTTTCATCAAGAAATGCATAACCAACCAATAGACAGGAGTTAAAATTTTCAGACACTGCCCTCCTCATTTACATAACGAGGCAGAAATGCTTTAGGAAAATTAAAACGAGGACAAGAGGAAATGTAAAAAGAACAAAAGAGAAGGAAAAACAAAATATACATACATTTCTTGATGAAATGCAAATGTAAATGTGACAGATGATATATTTTATTTATAGTGGCTGTTACATCTTGAGATCTCAAAGGGCTAGATGACGCTAAAACTAGCACTCGACACGATATGTAGAATATGTGTATTTTACGCCTTTGAAAATGTAATACTATTGTTATATTGGATTCTTTATGTTTGGCTGTGGAGCTGTGTCACTATTAGCTGTTTTTGTTTAGCATGGTGGACAGCAACAGACACCTGCAGCTGAAGACAGAGGAGCATGGCGAGGAAGACGAAGCAGAGGCAGAGCAGGCAGATCGGCAGGCTGACCAGCCATCTGAACACGGCTCTCTTCCAGGCGGGGTAGTAGAACTCCTCACAGCCCGTAATGGGACTGCACCGCTTCACACCCTGCAGGCACACATTAAACATGAGGTTGTTGGGAAAGACTGTGGATCCTCTGGACGTAATGATACAAAGAATCCATTGTGAACATCCCTGACCATGAGACTGTCTTAGAAAAACAGTGTCTTTAGTCAGAGGCTTATTCTAATTTCCTGTAATATAGACCACTACAGGCCTACCAACAGCCATCACTATCTACACCAACGTTTCATTTCCCTTTGAGATCAATACATTCATTTTGAATTGAATTAATATGAGCTTCCCTCCAAAAAATGTACTTCCATGAAAATATGAAAAACAACCTAGATCAATGTAATGGGTTATGATCTGTTGATCACAAACATGACCAACAGATCATATTTATACCCACATAAACAAAATCTGTTCATGTGGGCAACACATTGAAAGTTGACAAAAGTAATCGGTCAACATGGGGCTCAAACTCACGGCCCTGAGATTAAGAGTCTCATACTCTGCCGACTGAGGTAGCTGGGCTCTGCCTCCTGGTGACCGCTGTCCTTCTTTACCCTTCACTGCCCCCAACCCCGCTACACACACACACGCACACACTGAACCCACCCCTTCTGCTGCTCTCAGAGCACACGGACCCATCAACCCCATTTCCTGCTATTGTAAGCTAACCTTGTGTTGGGAGGAAGACTGTCAGAGGAAACATCACCAAGACATGAGAAGCTTTCAGGGTCATTATTACAGGAAGCCTGTGCTTTTATTGTGATGAGTTCTCACCCTGAACTGTGGCCTGGGCTCCTCCAAGGACTCGGCGGGGGTGTCCAGGGTGCCCCACCTGAAGGCCAGCTCTGCTTCTCGCCGTTTCCAGCGCTCCAGAAACAAAGTTGCCCAGATGACATTGAAGAGAGCAAAAACGACACAGCAGATATCCTGGCTGGTCTGTATGTATGGGGTCAAAAGGTTGAGTCAGTCACTTTACGCCACTTTAATTGTAAAGCTGTTTTCTTTAGTACTTTTTCTTTTTAGTTATATTCCAACCCAAGATATTCCCTCTCTTTGTTCAAGATATACTTAATGAAACTTTTCTCTGTGAAAATATAAAATCTGAGGATGACTCTACAGGACGTGGGCTGCACAGTGCAGTGCAGCTGGTAGCACTGTTGCTTTGCAGCTAGTAGGTCCTGAGTTCAAGTGCTTTTAACAGAACTTCACTTGAATAAAATGGTGAACTATTATTTTTCAACATAATAAATAATCTCACCCATATTTCTATTGTTGGTTAAAATGACCTCCTCTTTTTTCTTTTTCAAATTGTATTAAATTTTGACTTTGTTTTAATTCCTCATTTAACTTTTTCCATAACTGTACACCATAAATTGAACTACAAAAGCTCTCTCTTTAAGGTTTGTGATACCTGGTTATCTTCTGCTAGTATCCAGAGCAGAAAGCCGATGACAGCAGGATAGAGCATGGAGTTGGTGTAGAAACCCAGCCAAGCAAAGTACATGCCGATCTTCACTCCAAAGTAGTCACAAATGTCATCTGGAAATTATTTATTAGACATAACTGAGGATCTTCAGCTTGCTTTAAGTTAGCAGAAGTTGACCACGATTTCAAGGAATCTATTCAGTATGATGCATTCCACTGTGCTGGCCTGTCATCCTCTAGTATTTCTTACCGAGGGGCTGCCTTTCACACACAGCCTGGACCCACGAAGTCATCAGCTGGTTGAGTATTCTTTGTTCATGAAGAGGAAACATCTGATGGATCACTCCCCGAGCAATTAGCTCTGGAACTAAAAGTACAGACAACGGCTAACACCAGAGTTCCCAGTTCGATGCTTCTGTTCATCCATCACATAAAATCGTAATGAAATGAATCAAAGTTTTTGGGTTACAATGTGCCAAGATGTGAAAAGCTTTGGGGTATGTAAACTTTTGAAAGGTACTGAAATTATAGCAGACTAACAATGCTGCATCTTTTTGCTGAACGTTTTTAGCTCCTGGTCCAAAATCACCAAGTTAAAAGTGCCACATAAATATTATAAGGAAAACACAGACTTGAATATGTAACATTTGTACCTGCTCAGCAATAAACTGAAATAAATATGATATTTTAGTGAAACAAAAAGTAGCAATTTTTGAAAGAAAGGGATATATAAATAAAAAATGTTTTGTACTTATTAAAGTTGCACAGTTGTCATATAATGACTCACTTTATTGTCTAATTTCAACAAGAATTTGATTCTGGATTTTCTTTGAAAACTGCTTAATATTGCCAAGCTTTAGTAAATCAATTAAATGCAGATTCTGGTGAAATCATGTCTGCTTTATCGTAAAAGTTGTTGGATACCAATATGAAATTTAAGAAACAAAAAGAAAAAAATAATGAGTATTAAAAGATGAATACTTTGTAATGTATCTAATGTTTTCCATTTTTAGAACATTTAAGTTGTAAAAAAATTATTTTTTTCATTGAAAAAAAAAGATTTTATTTGCATCATTTCCCTGTCCTACATCTCCAATTATATATCAGTCAAATTTAATTTGCACAGCATATTTCAGCAGCAAGGCAGTTGAAAGTGCTTTACATCATAAAAACATATACACTGCTTATAGCCATGAACCACACAAAAGTAGCTTAGCTGCTGCAAACATGGCCCCCAGGCCACACTTGGAACATTAACCCCTGCATTAAGGGATAAAACGAGAATAAAGAAATGAGAAAATGCAGAACAGCCTGGGAAACGTAGATTATAAAAAGCATCTCACTTATTGGCTGTCCCTCCAAGAAGTAGATGTTGTGGAGCATCTCCCCCTGTTTGGCACGCAGGTTATCCAGCCAATACTTAATGATGCTCTGACGTTCCTAAGCAAAACAGGCACACATGGTTTTATTGAATTTCATAAAATAACGCGTACATTTGTAGATCTGGTTTTTTTTTAAACAAACACCTGAGTGGCATTCCTACACTTCCAGATGACACAGAAAACGAGAATCTCAGACTTCTAACCTGCGAAGTGAAAAAGCAAAGCTCGCTTTCTATGTTCTCATATATGTTGTCCTCCTCACAGGAGAAGCGGCGCATGCCGCCACCAAACTGTGGCTTCACAGTTTTGTACATGCCCATCTGCTCAGCTCCTCGCAGCAGGCTGTTGGGGGGGAAACAAGATTTCATTTCTGTCTGAAATAAAAGATTATGGTTTCTTGTACCCGTGAAAGAGGTTGATTCTTACTTTTCAAATGCTGTTGTGATGAAGAAGGCGTGGGTCTGGGTGTGTTTATGTTGCCGGACCTGGATGCTGACCTGTGGGATTCCAACACGAATTTGATTCAGGAGCCACAGCAGAGAGTGGTCATCTATTGTATCTGGGGAAATCAGAAATACATCCATCTGAAGTTCATCAGCATGTTTTCAACCATCTACTGTCCAAAAACAGAAGCAGATGAGGTAAATTGGAAGTTTCTGTGTCTATTCCAGAGATGCTTGACTGGACCAGGTGTTGATCAGCTGATATAAAACTAAATATCACATCCTTTGTGTGATCTGTAATTGCAGTGTATTGCAGTGTAATCTGTAGATTATCTTTTGGATAAACCAATTAGTAATTGGTTTGTATATGTGCTTAATAGGATTTTTTTTGCTTTTTTTGTTTAGTTTTTAAAATATGAATACAAGTGAAGCTAAAACTATGCCACTTGAGGAGTTCTGGGTAAAGAATATTTAAAAACGAAGAAGATTTTTCATCTTAATTGGAAAATGTATGTATCTTTTTACACAGGTTTGACTTACTTACTGCTCTGAGAGTGTTCGTCTTTCAGCAAATGACCTTTTATGAGTCTGTTTACTCAAGTTAAAGATTAATCATTTAACAAATTACTTGACGATTATTTTAATAATTAATTCATCACAATTATGCCAATGAATGATTTCAGTTCTAGTTGTGTTTTTACCCCAATTCTTCTTGGGTGGAATCTCAGTGGTGGATCCACTTCCACTAATCTGCTAATGCACTAATAAAAAAGCTGATTTGCTATTTATTGCCTTTCGCGTTTTTGTTCATTTGTAAAATGTTTAGAGCAGTTAGCTTGCTGTAAATAAATTTTTCCGGCTAAATACGAAAGTGCTAATTTAATTTGTGGTTTTGTAAACATTTCGCTGAATAAAGTTTAAAATCTGTGTTGAAGCTTTGATTAGCGACTCTTAAGAATCCTTGAAGTAGTCAGACTTCAAGGATTACATGCTCTTGTGAGGCTGGAAGGGGGAAAGACTAGTTATGCAGATGTTTATTCAGTCTCAAATTACATTTATTCTGTACCCAGAATGCATAGCTGTAGACAGATTAAATACAACTTGTGCACTGCATGATTTCTGATCGAATCCCTACTGTGGTCAACAAGACAAGACAAACAGTGTTTGCAATACTCAAAAACCTCTCAGTCTTGAAACCATTTGATGAGTGAAAGTTCTCTTTCAAAGAATAACTTCCTGAAGCATCACTGTATGGGTAGGCCTTCACTAACAAATTTGACCCTGCTCATGGTAATACACTGTGATATAACACCTGGACCGGACGCTTTAGCCAAATGTCAGCTATGTTATGATCCTGGATTGTTGAGTTGTGGTCGCAAACTTTGACACTGACTTCAGTTGCTCCTCCACCCTTTCTCTAACTTCACCATAAAGTGCAGATATGACTGTGTGTGAAAAATCTTCCCAGCAGGGATTTTGTATCCGTGGTCAAAGACTGACATCATTTTCCTGAAGCCCCTGATTTGCACCGTAGTAAACAACATCATGCCTTCAGCATGGGCTTCTCTTTTGACATGTCTGGGTTTAATGCTTCAGGGACATTTTGGTTTACACGTTCATTGTGCTTCATCTTCTGGCTCTCAGAATATTCTATCTACAGGAAATGCTTCACATGGTGGAAAAGATTGATGTTTTCCTGCTGCTGGTTGGCACGAGTCTCCGGCACGTTGTGTAGCACGCTGAAACCTGAAGTTTATCAGATCTTAGAGATCTGAACTACGTCTACACCGCCAAATTAATCTTTCCTCTCTTATCAATATTGTCAGCTTTCTCTTTGCTTGTGGAAGCTTGTTCAGTCACATTTGCATTACAATAATGGGCATTCCATTTTTTGGCTAAAACTTACCGCGTTGGAGCTTAGCGTAGCCTAGGCCAACCACCTAGCACAACCTTCTATTGCTGGGCATGGACCTGTCGTTTATGTCATTACTCAAGAAGGCAATGTGTTGTGGCCCGTGGTGGTTTCTGATATGAGCGACCTGGGGAACCGCCCAGTGCACCATCTTGCGGGGGGCGGCATGAGCCCAGGGCATCAAACAGACTAGGACCGGTTCTGGTTAAAGCTTTTTCTGTTCAGCTTGAATTGGTTGTCAGTGAAATGCTGTGATCACAGACTGTAATATCAGTCTATTATATTACATAGACTGAGATCTGAACTATATCTACACATTACCGTTATAATAATATAATTATATATATATATATATATATATATATATATATATATATATATATATATATATATATATATATATATAATATATATATATATATATATATATATATATATATATATATAAAGTTGTGACAGCAACTTGAGAACCAACCAGCCGTTGTCGTAGTGGATAAACAACAGAGGAAAGCCGTTGTGGTAGATGTAGCAATACCAAGCCACTGCAACATCAGAAAAAAGGAGCACGAGAAACTGGAGAAATACCAGGGCCTCAGGGAAGAACTGGAGAGGGCCTGGAAGGTGAAGACCACAGTGGTGCCTGAGGTCATCGGGGCCCTCGGGGCAGTAACCCCCAAACTGGAGCAGTGGCTACAACAGATCCCAGGAACAACATCAGACATCTCAGTCCAGAAATGTGCAGTCCTTGGCACAGCCAAGATACTGCAGGACCCTCAAGCTCCCAGGCCTCTGGTAGAGGACCCGAGCTCAGAGGAAATTTATAATATTTTGCCATTTTATCTCTAACATTTTTACTGAACTACTCTGGCCACTCTTATGAAAGTTTTCTGGGGCCGGCACTGTTACACACCTCTGGCAGGTACGAAACAAACAAACAAAAAAAAAAAAAACGTACTCAGATAGAAATAATAAATGTTGACTTAAGCCGCTTATCTGCCCATAAGTAAACAGTGTGCTCTGTTTAAACACCACCCATATAACAGGATGTGCTCCTTCACACTGCATGTGTGTCTGGTTGCTTAATGAAATGCTTCACATTGCTGGGCCTCTCATTAAAAGGGAACAACAGAAAGAACAGGTGCTATTAATGGACAGTTTTTAATATCTCCCAAAGCACTTCACTGTAAACCTCACTGGCTGCCAGCGCCTTCTCTCACTGTAGAACAAACATGGAGGACATGTCAGAGTAAAGCGTCTACCTGGAAAAGTCATCAGGATGTCACAGTTTTGTGTGGGAACCATCTTTAACCAAGACTTGCGAGAGTTGATGTAATGTCTGGCCAGCAGAAGTCGTTTCCCGAACAGTTTATCTAAAGAAAGAAAAACATGAGTCTGACAGGGAAGGATAAAGCACATAGAAACCATGAGTGTATATATAAAAAAGCTGAAATCCCAAACATGTACCAAACAGATGGTGGTATTCATTATTGTGACGATCATGAACACAGATGACGGTCTGGTTCTGCCACTCATCACTTGCTGCATTTCCATTGACTGAGCTGACATTTCATGTGTTTCATTGAAGACATGTGTTTTTTGCTGAAAAGTTTTTTCCGCTGGGATGACAGATTTATTGGTTTATTTTGCAAAACTGCAATGGAAGCACTTTTTTTTCGCATCACATGAGTAACAAGGTTTTACTGCTGGCACAAGCCATGAAGAAGACAACAACAGGAAGGATGAGAGCACTGTATGTTTTTTAATGCCTTATCGCTTGAACAAACTCATTCACACGTCATTTTAATTGCATTTCAAATTTAACGTAAACACCACAATCGCATGCTTTTACGACATTTGCAGAACGCTGACAAAATTTTGCATATATTTGTAAAGGAAATTCAGCTACTTTCTTCTGATTTTTTTTTTTTTTACTCCTTCCTTTTTTCAATTTTCTCTAAGATAAAATAGCAGAAATATCCCAGATAAGCATGACTCTGCTGCTGTGGCTGAATGACTGAGCAAATATCGTGTACCGACAACTAATTTGTGAACAAACAGTCCCAAGCAAACTCTCTCTTTTCAAGTCTGACTCCAAAAAACAAAACAAAAAAAACATCAGTGGTGTTATTTTGGTTTGTTTCACACTCATGCTGCTCATGTGGATTTTATTCTGACATGGTGGTGAATGTTGGAAGAAAAGTAATACATAATCTGCAGTTTATCTGCCAGCTGAACATTTCACAGGTTTCCCAATGCTTCTATGCATGTGCAGTTAACTGCGGGTTGTTTGTCATGGATGACAAGGCGTGTATCGATCACACGTAGGTCAGAGAGAATTACAGAAGTTGTGAAAAAGAATGATCAACACTAGATATCAACTATTCACACATATTTAATGTATTTGCAAACAGAAACCTCAGAACCACGTGATATAGTTTACTAGTTTTGAAGCGTATCACTGAAATATGGGTAAAATCATGCCGGGACTCGAACTTGTGACTAAGGCCAGATAGATTCAAACATGAGTCGTGTTTTGCACCTTACCAATTCTGAAAAGTCGCTAAATATAGAAAGAAAGTTACTAAAGTTACAGAGGTAGATAAAACCGGTAAGACCAATTTCACATGTAAATATCGGCCAATCGTCGTTCTCCCAATGAAGGAAACTGAAGCTGGTTTATCAATACTCCTAGCCTGTATATTTGATCTAAACATGACCATTAATTGGAATAAATTGCAATGAATTTGATAAATCCAGAAAATAAAAATCCTATTACGTCCAAATATGGCTGAATATAAAATTGATCTATTTCTAACACACTTTAAGATGATGTTTGGTAAACTTGAGTGTTATGAACAGACCAATGGAGTTCAGTTGAATTATTAACATGAAATACATTCTAAAAATGTATGTCAATACACTTTACTATCAATATGTATTGTGTAAGGACTTGAGTTTGAAAAGAAACAGGCCAAACAAACAGAACCCTGAAAAAAAAAACAGCACACAATCACACAGGTTATAAAACCAGCAGCATTTTCAGTGAATCCAACTGATCAGATAATGACAGAGCAGGATTTAATAATGCATCCAGACAAAAAGAGCTGCAACATATTCTTCTGTTTTTTTTTATTATTTTTTTTAATTTTACTGCTCAACCAGTAATGCAGCATCAGCAGCAGCAGGACATGCCTCATGTTTGCTGAATGCACCTGTGGTTCCAGCAGGCCCGTCACAGGCAAACATGCAAAACCAAAAACCCTGCAGCCAAGTCAGCGATGCTTCACAAAGCCCGGGCACTGAGGCTTGTACATCTTCATTTTCTATCACATGAAACACAAATACGCAGCTTCTGCTTGCTATGGGCGGGGGAAGCGGCGGGGGAAGCGGCGGGGAACTCACCGAGCACTCCGGCGGTTTGCTGCTGCTGGTTGCTGGTCCTGTCCTGGTGCTCGCTGGACACCGTCCTCTCCGTCCTCTCCGTCCTCTCCATCCTCTCCCCTGCCCCGTCTCTGCCGTCGACGTCTGCGGCGCAGCTGCAGCCGTCTGCCGCAGGGTCGGCAGCAGCCGTCGCCTGCGTGTGGGTGCCCAAAAGCTCCATTGCGTGAAGGAAGACGGCCGTCAGAACCCGGACGAGGCTGCTGTTAATACATGGCTGCCGGCTGGAGGAATGACAGCCTGGTGCGTGTAGCAGTCAGGGAGGAGAGGGAGGAGCACGAGGAACATAAACATGTCATGTAGCCGCACGTTCCGCGCGCTGGTCGTGACTGCGTGACGTCACAGACCGGGGGACGACGCGCGCGGGCTACAGGTTCAAACGGAAAATGGAAATGTCTCCTACCTAGAGGACATGTCTCCTACCTAGAGGACATGTCTCCTACCTAGAGGACATGTCTCCTATCTAGAGGACATGTCTCCTATCTAGAGGACATGTCTCCTACCTAGAGGACATGTCTCCTATCTAGAGGACATGTCTCCTACTTAGAGGACATGTCTCCTCTCGGTAGGAGTATTTATTGCTCAAATCAATCTAATCTGAACATCGCTTTGCTGTATGTCTGCATTATCAGTTTGATATTTAAACGCATATTCTGAATGTGTGAGATAATCCAACAATCTGTTAAATATAAAGCCGAAAACAAAAGTTGACATAAACCAAATAAAACAACGTTTTTTTTCCCCTCACTGTCTTAAATCTTCTAAACTTCTCTTGTTTCATGTCAGTTAGAGTTACCACAATATTTCTGTTTGCTAAATACCACAACAAGGGTAGAAAGACTCAGATTTTTATTTATTTGTCTTCCAAATCAGAATTTTTCATTCCCTCTGCATTGGTAGCATTACCTTGGAACTGTGTGACGTGAGTCAAAGGTTTTGGGATTGCTTCTATAAGCTTCTCTCAGTAGTTTGTTGGAGTTCTGGTTCTTCCTCCTCCTTCCTGAGGATTCTGAGATGAAAGTCAGGATTCTTTCTCTTCAGTGACTCTAGTCGTCTTCTGTATCATCCAGACTAATCGGACCCTGATTTGGACGTTTAAAGACAGAGAGGAACCACCAGGGCTGGAATCTTGGGCCCTGTGACAAAAAATTCTATTGGGCCTTAACCCTAGGACAATGTTACATACAACAGTTACATACAGTATGCAAGTAGGTTGCCTACATTTTTCTCTATTATTTAAATGGCTCTCCCCACAAACAATAGTCATAGGCAACGTGCAAAATATACATAAAGGAATCCAGACTTCTAAAAATAAAATGCTATGAAGTTGCATTTTATTAAAGCTGCAGTATATTACTTTAAACAGAGTTTTCTCAATATTTGTTAAAGCTGTCACCATGTCGTGTCAGTTTGTTATGAGACAGATAATCTGTGAAAACAATCAATCTCCTCCACCTCCTCCCTGAACTAGCTAAAGTAATGCAATGTTAAGGCCAAAACAACCAATCAGAACCAGTAGGAGGGTCTTAGCGCTGTCAATCAACTCATTCACTCACTGTTAAATATGCTAATTGGGGAGAAACAACTTATTTCAGGAAACAGTTTATCTGCCATCTGATTGGTTGTTTCTACAGAGTACTGGAAGAAGGCAGAGGAAATAGATTTTTCACAGATAGTCTTTCATGCTGTACTATCACAATATTATGACAGTTTTAAGAAATATGTAAAAAAAAAAAATTTTTAAAACATTACATACTGCAGCTTTAATTTCACTTAGGAGAGCACGGGTCAGGAGGGATGTGGGTTAGAGCTGCTGCTGACTGACTCATGTGTTAAGTGTGCTAAAAGGTACAGGGACAAGTTAAATATATGAATATGTTGGTAATTTGTTTTCCTTAATTCATTAAATGCTAGTGAAAAAGAGCCAAACAGTAGTCTGTAGCTAAGCTAACCATGCTGAATGGTTGATAATCTCAGACAGTAGAAAAACTTCTACTGTCTGCTGCTGAACACTGTCACTGTCAGGCGCGCAAAACAGGAACGAACCATTTCCAGCAGATCCAGGAGAGAGTTCAGTGAAAATATAGATGAGTGATTTTTGGTCTGGGAGTGGTAACATTTAATTTTTAGTGATAAAACAATTTTAGAAAACACAATATGATTAATTTGTTGTTTCAATTGATTTTAAATGTGTATTTTTATGCACATTTATGCACCTCTTGTTCACACAGAAGTGGTGAACAAGAGGACTCACGTTTCACCTGTAATCCCTCCAGCAGTGCTGCTTACAACAGGACTCAGTGATTCATGCATTTATTGAGAAACATGAGGACCTTCTCAGGCTGTGTCTAGCATGGGACACTCACAGGTAAGTGATTGCCTTTTGCTTCTGTTAGTGTAAACAGGACAGAGCATTACACAGTGAAACACATTAAACAAAGAAACATTTGTTTTTTCTATTGTTCCTCTTATCAATTGACGATTTCTAGACCCAGCTGCAGATTGGACTTATGAAAATTCTACGACCTACATAAAACACCAACAAACGCACATCTAGCCAATAAAGCAAAAGTAAACACTCACAAACATTTAAATTACGTTTGAATCTTTGTGAGAGGCTGTGTACATACTAAAGATTTTCGTGTGCTATTTTCAATGTAAACTTCAACATGGCTAAATACCCAGCTAAGCGTTGAAATGTTCAACCTTACGGCAGATTCATAAACTTCATTTCTTGTTATTGGCTGCTTGGTGACTCAGTGAAGGCCAATCTGTACAAAATGGAATTCATTTCACTTTAGCAACCTCAACAGAAATGTAAATGATAATGAAATAATATTTTAGTTACACTGTAAAAAAAAAAGTCTAGTTTTGAGTAAAATACCAGCAGCTGTGGTTGCCCGAATTTGACTGTATACTGTAAATAAATATGGTCAATAAATAAAATAAATACTGTAAGTTAGAGACCTTTTTTTCCTTTTACAGTGTAACTGAACATAACTGACTGCAGTTAGAACTGCTGTGGCCATAAGCCTCTTCAACATCTGGTCCTTTAAAGACAGCACAGAATATCTGTAATTATAAATCATATTCACACTATTAATGCACTTTAATCATGCACTGCATCATGTGAACTGGTCATGTTAAGGCACATGTACATATTAAAGATGTCCTACATATCCATACATGTCACATGCATCTAAAACGTGAAAGTAAACTACAATGAAACATTTCTCTACATTATTTCCATGATGTAGAAAAGTTTCTGTTATAGCAATATACAGCTATGGCCACTAGATGGCAGGGGTGAGTGGTTTATTTTTTAATTCTTTCAGGAAAACTTGATGTGTCTCAAGCACATTATTAAGGCACACTGCTTTCGTTCCTGCTGAAGTCAAGCAGCTCTTCACACCAGTAAAATTTACCTCCATAAAATGACTGTAGATGAGGCAACTGCAACCTGCCAAAGCAGTCCAGAGAGCCAACACAGGCCTCTGGTGCTGGATAAGTCTGGTTGAACTGGAAACCCTGATCCCCGATTCAGAAAAAGACATACATCAGAAAGAACACTATGCGTCCGAGGTCAAAGTTCGTGACAATTCTTCCTAAAAAGACAAACAAGTACAAAGAAAACAATAAAAGTCAAAGAAGGGAGTTTCACCTCATACAATAGACTAATTGTGAGATCTTATCAGAAGGAAAAGTAAAATAACTGATTTGAAGTTATTCCATATCAAAAAATTGGTGAGTAAGTCTCAACCTCTGATAAATAATATTTTATTATCTGTACAGGAAACTGCTGTAGATATGATTTTCCAACAGGATATTATCATTTTGTGGGAGTTATGATGAGGAAAATACCAGAGGTTTTCAGTTCACTTCCCTCTAAATACAATGATTTTTTTAAATATTCATTTTTCTTCTACTGGAGAACAAAAAGAAAAAATCTCACACAAAACTGACTGTCTCCATGGATACAGAATATTTTTTATTGTTGTGTATGGTACATTACTTTCCAATATAAATTGCAGACATCATTTTAATTGTTTACACTGGTATATAAAACCCTCATAACTTTTGTCTTTTAAAATGTTGTGAATGTATTTGTAGAAGAATATTTTTCAACTTCTTGTTCACACTGATTTACTTCTGAATGCACATAGTTTTACTTTGGGAATCAAACTTCCTATTCTTATCACTTGATCTTAAGACAAATAGTTTTTGTTAGTTAATTGGAAACAACCTCTTTCTCTCTTGAAATATAACAAATAGAATTTTTAAATTGATAGTATTGCTTAGTTTTGAGATTTCTATTGAATAAATAATTTGCATGTTCTTTAACACTCACTTCATATTATTATAGGTTTCCTTCAGGTCACAAACAAATGCTTAATGTTGGTTTCAAGATGACAAAACAGATGACATGTTTTGGATGGATTCTAGAACAGTCTGTGAAATAGAAGATTATTTGTGAACAGCTACCTGAAGTCTGATTTTTAATATTTTATTTTTATTGACACTACATCAGCCTCTGCCTTCATCTTCTGAACATCAGCGTTGTTTTCATGATAATCTTATCGGACCAAAGGGCTCGCCTCCAGGATGGATGGTTTTTCCCTCACACTCCTGTATGGTTGGAAAGTTTTTCTTGTTTTTCTGCAGCCTTGCAGTTCATTCCTGCAGAGCTCCAATTCCCCACCTGGCTAACTCATTCATTAGCACCTTGGCAGTTGTTCTGTGGCCTTTTGACACTTTTTATTTCCAAGGTCTTCAGATCTCTGCCAGGTTTACTCTGTAACAGGTCTCCATGGGGCTGCTGGATGATTCTTCTGACTGCAGTTAGAACTGCTGTGACAGTTTTGTTTTATTCTGTTTTTGAATTGAGTCTTTCAAAGCCAAAGCCTCCAAACATAATAAATTGAACATTAATTCCCAGGTCCTGATTAATCTGATCATACTGATGCTGTGATTTGTTGAACATTCAGAAAATGTTTCTGTGCATAACCTCCAGTGAATAACTTCTGTTGGTGTATCATTAACTTCTAGAAGGGTTGCTGTAGTTTTTCATGATCACCTAATGAAGTTAGTTGAGGTTTCAACTTCTTGGCTTAAAGAAGTTGAAACTATGAAAATCAGCCTTCTCTTGAAGCAGCTAATTTGCTCTTTGTTTTTCTCTTTGAAAACAGCTCTGCTCGTAGAGGTCATGCTGGAGGTCAAGGATACTCTCAACCCCGCCCATCCACAGTTTGTCCATCCTTCGTAGACTCCAGCACTATCTTCCACCCT